TCGAAGAAATGAGTGAGGAACATGCTTTCCAGGTCCTCCCAGTTGTTGATGCTTCCGGGCTTGAGGCGGTGGTACCAATCGAAGGCGGGCCCGCGAAGGGTGCCAACAAATGACCGGACCATCAGAGGCTCGTTGCCAGAGATCATACCCAAATGGGACTTGAAGTAGATCAGGTGCTGAGAGGGCGAGCCCTTCCCGTCGAACGGCGTGAAGTTGATCAGGTTGAACTTCGTCGGATACGGGATCGAATCCCACTCTTTCGAGTAAGGACACGGAATGCCGGTCTTCTTTACCTCTTGAGCAGACATTAAAGCGTTAATTTTTCTCTCGAGGTCCTTCATCTTTTCGTCCTCATCTATATCCTATTTTGGACAATTCTTGAGAGGAATAACGGGGCCATCCCCAGCATTGTCATCTTTGGTGGGACCACCCCCAGTATTATTGTCCTTAGTGGGACCACCCCCAGCGTTGTGTTCATCCACATCTGAATCGCTACCTGCTTGGTTAGCAGTGCTACGACGGCTAGACTCACCTAGCTGATTCGACAAAGCTCGAATTTGTTGGTCGTGCATTTGTCTCATCTCGTGCATAGCCATTTCTATCTCGATCTTGAATGCTTCTTTCTGCTTGGTTAAGGCTTCCTCAACCATTTTGGTTACTTCCTCGGTATTAATCATAAACACTTCACGGGATTGTCCCGGACTGGATACTGTATTATCAGAAGCGATTGCCGAGTTAGCATCCGATGCTTCATCATCCGAGGATAACCCTCTCTGCATTCTCTGATAATCCCTTTGTCTAATAGTTCCTGATCGTAACCGGGTTAGACGATGCGATACAAGCGGATCAGAGCTAGAAGGTCGAATCAATTTTCCCTTATCAACCATATTGATGGTAACCTCTGGGGGTTCATCACCTTGAACGACCGATCGTTTCTTACGGAGACGCTTTTGATTGGACTTAGCCTTTTCGTTGGAGATCCTCTTAAATATCGAGACCCTCTGTGGAGCGGTCTTAGGGCAGCTACATGCTGATAATACTGCCCTGATAATTTTGATACACGGACAGTGAGAGTCCGCTTCCCGGGTACTTCTCTTTCGAGATTTATTCGTACCCCCAGCTTGATAGTACAACTCATCGACGTTACGGTCGGAGTAACCTATTGGCTGCTTACATGGATTCTCAGGTATAACGCGTTCGTCTGTCTAACGCGTTTTCCTCTGAATAAACATTGCCTTGTTGGCATCTACAGGAGTCACACTTTTGGAATCACACCCTTGTGAGGGTGAAACCTTAACGGGCTCCTGGTTTTCTGCACGTACCTCTAAGTGGGCTGTTGTAGAAATTAATTTGTTAGGAGGTCGCGTACGATCCCCAGTCCGGATGCTTGCTCGAAGCTCCTTCAATGGTCTCAAGCTTTCCTTAACAGGTGCTTTGCCTCGATTCTCGGGTAGGGCACCGACACGATCCTTCAATGGGATTCTAGATTTGGAGAGACCCACGTTGTCATAGGGCTTCACCGGAAGTGCGGGAGCAATAGGAGCGGGATCTGGAGTTGACAAAGGTCGGATGACAGCTTCAGATGCTTTTGCCTTAGGCGCTGATTTGGCTTTTGGCGCCCAAACTTGTTTGGATCTCGGTGATCTTTTAACTGCCTCTTCCTTTTGCATTTCCTGTGCTTTTCGCACAAGGGTCCGGGCATGCGCAAGCAAGGCGCGGCGCTTCTGGATTCGCTCCTCGAGAGTAGAGCGGGTTCTTTGGACACGAACCCATTCGTTAATTGGAGATCGAGAGGAGGATTCCGATGCTGGTCGTGGCGACAGATTAGCCACTTGGCGCTTTCTGAGCTCCAGATTTGCTTGGTAATGGAGTCCATCCATCTGATCCAAAGCCTTGGCGAATTGGCGTGCGAGGCGTTGTCGTTTCCTTTGACGTGCTCTCTTTGATAGAGTTGGCGCGCCTTCAGCAGTCGACTCCTTAATCGTGAAGGAGTTTAGATCTGCAGATCTGGTCTCATTGGATGCCGGTGGACCGTTGCAAGGTACGACTGTAGCATCGGCTATGGGGAGATCAATTTCTTGGTTCTTCAGATCTGGAGACCGACGGATCTTCTGGGAGGAGGAGGCCTTCCTGCACCTGCAAGGAGAGGCAGATCTGGAGGAGGAGGAGGAGACATACTCCTCGAACTTCTGCTGGTCGAACTCGTATTCGACCTCTTCAGCCACGGGGATCTTGATCGTTGGCTACGGCACGACAACCTCGGCAGCGAGGCTGTTGGCTCCCACTGTGGTCGCCAGTTTGTTTGCGGTGAAAGTTGCTGTCTTCATTGCTATCGAATCTATTACAACTTTAGTCATCACAATAAACTCGAATAAAATAAAAAGTTGATCTTTTTATAAGATCTCCTTACACAATGAAAATAAAAAGTTTACAACTATCAAACAAACGCAGAGATCGTTTATCGGTCTTCTGCTTGCGTGGGATCTTTGCCTGTGTCGGGGTTTATCCGTGGACCACCGTCGATCAGATCTGATTGCTGAAAAATTAGGCAGAGCTTCGTCTATCCGCGAAGGGATCAAGAAACAGTAGCTCTTATCTCGGCGAAGTGAGATAATCACTCTTCTTAAGATTACCGCAACGGGATAATCCTAAGGAACGGATCCGAAAAACTATAGATCTGACGAATCTCTCTCTTGCGTTAAAGAACTCGATCCGATCTCTCCTCCTCCTCTCTGAAATCCGTGCACCTTCAGTCTTCAATCCGGCAGGGCTTCGCCTAATCTTCAAAATTCCAGATCTCAAAAAAATGAGGACCCGGGGCTGTATTTATAGGCTCCAGGGGGTTTCGGGTGGTTAAAACCACCTAGCTGGCCATTTCTGTGTTGGAGACACCCCAGGGTGTCTCAAACTGGGCCGAGACACCTCGGGTGCCCCAGTTCAGCCTGAGACCCTCCGTTATGTCTGTTTGATTGTTTCCGCCGTAAATTCTTCGTCCGAACTCGGATTTGAGTGATTCCAAGTGCGTTGGAAATCTGACGAAGAGTTCTATAAGATCCAATGATTAAATCATCCGTGGAATAAATGAGACACGAAGGGTATTTCGCCGTTTGTGAACGATACGAGGTTCCCGATCAGTTCGTGTTTCATTATTCTGAAACTCCGTTGCTTCACGTAGTTCGTCGGTTTACTTCAAGCGTTCACCGACATCAATCAAGCTTCTGTGAACCAGATGATGACGTTTATTGTTATTTCTTAACACTGAGCTGTTCGTGGAGACCTATAGGCAATTTTCGATGCCTACACCTATTGCATCTTATTTACATTGTCCACTAGTTTGTTTCACCCTTGATAGTTTAAATATATACTTGCATATACCATATAGTATATCTCTTTTCTAGGATATATCACCTTAGTTATATTGCTTATTCTTGCTCATATCATATTGTATATCTATCTTGCAAGAATAATTTGTTAGTTAGTTTTAATTGTCATAAAATCGGATTAGATTAGCATAAACCCTATTCACCCCCCTCCAGGGTTCCTTCATAGCGACCTTAGGGGTCCAACAATGTCTATAAAGATTTTCTGGTCTACCCACACTTGTGGTCAATACGGTGCTAATGCTGGCAACTCAAGAGCATTAAAAAAGTTCATTGCAACCTAAATACAATCTCATTTGAAGGTTAGGCCAGATCTTCATCCAGATGATATCAAGAACAACTTGCTCTCACATTATGGCATCAAGATTAACTACTGTAATGCATAGAAAATCAAAGAGAGAGCACAACAGGACATGTTCAATGATGATGATGAGGCTTACGATTCACTAAGATGGTAAATTCTTTTGTTCTATTTTTTTTAGTTGTTAGGGATATGCATTGATTGCTAACCTTATGTTTTAGTTGTTAAGGTTTTGTATTGGTTGCTCACCTTATGTTTTTGTTGTTAATGTTATGTGTTGGTTGTTAAGGTTATGACTTGACTATTAAGGTTATGATTATGTTGTTAAGATTATGGGTTGGTTGTTAGGACTATCAGTTGGTTGTTAGGTTTATGTATTTGTTATTAAGTTTATCTATTGGTTATTGCGGTTATGAGTTTGTTATGAAGGTTATAAATCGGTTGCTAAGATTACTGCTTTGACAACTAATTTGTAACAACAAGTCCCTAACTTTGAAAACTAATCTGTAATCCTAACAACCAATCTCTAACCTTAATAACTAATTTGTAACAACAAATCCCAAACTTTTACAATTAATCTGTAACCCTAACAACCAATCCCTGACCTTAATAACCAATTTATAATTTTAACAACTATGTAATATAATTCACAAGTAATAAAAAAAGGATCTAACATGTACACGTTTGTAGCTCTATTGCTAGACTGGACACCTCTTCCATCGGCCTCTCATTGTTATATATAGTGAGGCTTCTGCATCGAGCATCGCTTAGCTACTCTCTCAGCCTCCTCACTTGTGCAGACAGATAAGCCACTGTTACAGATAGAGAAGTTATCTCTAGTCGATCGGCGACAATCTGATCTTTGAATTTCTTCTCATCGTCGCGATGTAATTTTTAATTCATTATCGCGATACTCTTCCAATAGCTCACTTGTTGAGGCAATTCTATTTGATCAACTACCTCATTGTGCTGCTCGACCGTTTCATCAATATTATGTGGTATAATCTTTGTAATGGAAAAATAGCATATTACTAAAAAAAGAATAATTAAAAACAAATAAACACCATTAACAATACATTTATAATTCACAATTACTACAATGTTTACCCATCCTTTAAGAATGTTATCATCTTCTAATCCCCTTTTCTTTTGGGAAGAGGCTATCTTGGGCCATGTGCCCTACCGACATCTCTAGCAGTCGGTTCCTTATCCTTCTCCCTCTCTCTCTTTCTTCTTCTCTTCTTTTTTCTTCTTCTATTTCTCCTTCTCCTGCTCCTTACCCCGCAAACTTCCTTAAGACTTTGAACTTGGCCCTGGAACTATGAAAGTTTTATAGTAGCTTGCCTTGCTTTAGCTATAACAGTAGTCAATCTCAGGGATCCAACAATATCTCCTAGTTTCGCCCAATTTGAGAGGGGAGTCCGGGACATACTTCCCACTACTGGCTTCTTGATGCTAGTAAGTTTATAGTGCCACAGCTGCACATGAGAGAAATAGAATCTTAACAACCACCCTTTAACCTTAACAACAAATAAGCAACCATAATAATAAATTCGTAACCTTAACAATCAACTTGTATCATTAACGATAAATCTGTAATATTAATAACCAACTCGTAACCTTACCAACCAATCTGTAACCTTAACAATCAATTTGTAAACTTAACAACAAATAAGCAACCATAATAACAAAACAGTAACGTTGACACCCAACTTGTATACATAACAACTACCAACTATACTTAAGAACTAAACTCTAACCTTCACAATCAATAATGCATAAAATTTACTCATTGCTTTAAATAATAAAAAGTAGGAATACTTACACAAACAAGCTGGGTACACCCTTGCAGATATACAATCTTCTTTCCTGGCCCAAGACCCTTCAATGCCTTTTCAATCACATTAAATGTATCACTAAATATATAGGTCCCCCAAGCAGTGTTATTTGCATGTTTAATGCTGTCAACATACTTGAATAAATGCTTTGGAATGCTAAGAACACTGCTTGGACACCAGATCATGCTCAGCTGATAGAGGATCTGTAGCAGAACAAAGTCTTTCACATCTTGACGATCAGTTGATTGTACAAGCTTCATGAGTTGATCCTCAACATGGCGTCTGGTGGGTGATGGAGGAGGAGCTATACTGCTGTCATCCTCAGGTTTGGTAAAAATCTTCGGCCAAATTCTGTTTTCTATCTCGATTGGGGCCAACAAGATCCCCTCATTGACTGCGGAGAAGCCCCAATTTTCCTAAAGTTATTGCAAAATAAAGATATTGCAAAATAATACCCTCAATGTTCCCAAAGTTATTGCAAAATAATTAATACCCTCAATGTTCAAACATGAAGATATTGCAAAATAATACCCCCAATTTTCCTAAAGTTCAAACATGATTTAAAGAAGTTGGTCCATGCTATTTCAAATAACACCCTCAATGTTCAAAAATTTACCCATTTTTCTGAACTCACACGGTTGAGAAACGTGGACTGCGGAGAAGCCCCTTCATCAAAATCTTCCACCCCG